TGCTGAGACATCCACCTCACATCCTTTGCATTCCTCTCTGTTCTATATATTTTGTTTTTCTCATATACAGGGTAAATATTCACAGAGACATATCGCCGATACATAACTCACTTAAATGATACCATATAAATTTTATCTATGATAAAATGTTGCTTAGCAGGCAGGCACTACTGTGACAGTCGTCATGTAATAATTATGGTGATTAGAGAAAGAAGATAAAAAGACAAAATAATGTCTCCTGTCTTTTTTTTGATGATTTATTTACAATGTTTCTGATTGATAATCTGCTTCAAAAAAAAAATATTGTTTATTTTTAATTAACCCAACCTTTGCCACATAACTACTTAGTTCATTCTGTTAAAAAGGCTTATCCCTCCATTTACTTTCTTTGATCTTCGGGGTCTTCTACGTTAAATACCTTGCTTAGTTGTTCGTTAAAAAAAAAAATGGTCCCCCCCCCCCCCCCCCCCCCGAGACCTCACTTAGTTTCCCTGAAGAAAAAGAAAGTTCTTGCTGGGGGACCATGACCCTCCCCCGGTCTCTCCTATGTCAGATCCTCAGCAGGGTCTTCACAGACAATTCTGAGACCTCAAAGTCATGATTCAAATTGAATTTTTATAAGGTAGACAGGCACCCACAGGACCCTGTGAGCTGGGAGTCATCTTCCAGCATAGAACATGTCTCCCAAGTTGAGGATAAGTGGGTTTTTTTGTTTTTGATTTTGTTTGTTTTGGTATTTATCTAAATTCCATCTGTAGTTTAATATTTTTCCTGCCTTGTTCCATAGGGCAAATCAACAGAGCGCTGGGAATGTCACTGTAAATGGACAAGGAAATGTAACTGAGGCGTTGTCTCTTAACTGGTACTTAGGGATTTATTCAGGTAAAGTGTCATCACTTGGTCTATTATATGAGAGTCTGAGGTGCTTACAATGAGCCTGTGTGAGGGACTAGGCTTCCGGGAGTAATTCAGTAATGTCTTAACAGATTAAGGGTCTGAGTCGAATTTACTTTGTGAATTAATTAGAATAATTATTTTTTTAAAAATCTACTAGAAGAAAGAGGTTCAGTGAAGACTCTTAATTTGCTCTGTACTGGATTTTGGAAGTTAAACCGGGATTGAGCATTCAGAAAATCAGCCACTGGAAATATGTGGCTATTGTCTATTCTAATAGGTTGCTTTAGCTAAATCTTATATTATTATATGGATGGGCAAGGGGATTAGAAACGGATCCCCACCCTCTGGTTCGGATTGTTCCAATTCTGTATGAATAAACCCTGGCTTTTGTTGAATTTGGATGCAATCCTCTGGCAGCAAGGCCCCCCAAATAAAAGCATTATTCCCTTGCAGGTATGCAAAGCTTCCCTCACCGTGCTGCTCATCTCTTGGGCTTCACTAATTACTTAAGAGGGAAGCTAAGCAGGGAGAAACCCAGTGTCTGGGAATTAGGCTGCCTTCTCTTTCTTACCTCGAGATCACAATGTTATCGCCTTCCCAACTGTGGGAGTAATTTAACATCTGGCTTGACAGGCCAGCATTACCACCGCGCTCCATTTTCACAAGAGTGCTTAGAATATATGTAGCATTCCATACTTTTTAAAGGAAATCCTCATCTAAAATTTTAAGTATCCCCGCAGGTATCACTCATGCATGCTTTCCTCAAAGCTAGAGTGAGTCTTGTTTGTAAGAACCCACTCATTGAAAGGTGGTATTTATTTCGTTGATCACTCGCTAAGAAATCTAAATCCATTTGCTGTTTACCTTCCATATTGGTGGACAATGGATGACCTAAAGGAAGAGGGAAATGGTTCTGTCATATATTCATGTCGGATGATGGGCTACGGAAAATGCCTGTTGATGGAATTAAGAAATCTGACCAGCTTTCAGAGTTTGAACAAATGATGTGTTACCTGAAGGGGGAAAAATACTTAGTGGAATATTTATTGCAAAAGTTATCCTCACTTTATTTAGCATTGTGAGTTCCAGAGATGTTAGGAGAGCTATTTTAATGTGCATAGTAGGTATTCATTTATGTCATTAATAAAATATATAATTTAAATGATTATGTTCATATAAAATGCTTTATTTATATAAAACACTTAGTGAGATTAGTTCCTCATTCAGGTTAATTATGTTAAAATATTTGTATTTTCTTGAAATTCAGTTATTTAAGAGGTTTTCTAGTTGCAACTTAAGATGGTATTTTTATATTCTTTAAAGGCACTTGGGCATTTTTTACAAGGAAATGGTCAATTATTTCTCCTCTTCCTTGTTAATATCACATGCTGTTATCAAAACACACCACAATTTTAGAGTATGGGACATGTTGTAAGTAGTAAGATTTGGAATATGGAGAAGGGAAGATCAACTACTTTTTATAATTGTCTTTCTTCTGAGTTTTTAATAGACCATGTAATTGAATTAGGAAAGACTAGAATGAAACTGTAGTTTACAGCTGATTTCCCCCCCGTGTAGTTTCTATTTGAGACAAAAATAAATTATTTTATATTCTTTATAAATGTATCTTGCAAATGCATTAAACTCTTAATAGAGCCCAGATCCTTTAAGGAATAGAATACATGATCTCTTTATAAGCTGCCTGCCACCCTTTAGCATTGTTGAAGGGAATGCGGAGACCCTGTGCTGAGGGATGTTTCTTCGTTTCAGGTTTAACTGTGTCTACCGTCATTTTTGGCATAGCAAGATCTCTGTTGGTATTCTACGTCCTAGTTAACTCTTCCCAGACTTTACACAACAAAATGTTTGAGTCCATTTTGAAAGCTCCGGTACTGTTCTTTGATAGAAATCCAATAGGTAAGTCAGATACCAAGTTTATTGGTAAACATGTCTTATTAACACATTTAATGTCTGATTGCGTTTCAGTGTTTGAAAGTGGAGGCAAAGCTTGGAATCAGATCACTCTGTGTGTTGATTCACTTTCTATAAAGAGCTTCACTGATTTCCTCCCAGAGAAAATCGGAATAGAGGGGCATACAAGCTTTTATTCCAGTTTGTGTGTGTGGAAAGATAAACGAATGTTCACTCTGCAGAAGGACTAAGGAAGCCGTTTGCTATGTGGCATATGAAACACCATACATTCAGTGCAGATGTATTTAAATGTGGTTGACCAGCTGCCTAAACATTGGCTGGAGTACATAGTGTGAAGCTGGGCCACCCTTTAGGAAGGCCCTTCTCACAAGGAATCTCTCCACATGAGACAGGCTGTGTGTTTCTTTCATTGGCCATCCATGTCTAGACCAGAGCTCTTGCACCAGCTCTGTGAGGTTTACCTAAAATGGTTATGAAAAGTTAATTAAAATGCAAGCTGGGTGAAATGCAAACATCCTATCCTCTTCAGTAAAAGCTATGAACTGTAGTTTTAAACTAGACTTCTGGTTACCTATTTGAGGCTTGGTCCTACCTGACAGGTGGGTTGCTGGGAGTAATTTTGTTGGTATGCGTGTACCTGGTGGTTTCCAAGTGGTGGATGCCTCCACTCAGAGGCCTTGACTTGTCTTGTTTCTGAGGGTAGCCTCTTGACGTGGGTTCCTATGAAGAGGTAGGTCATCAGCACACATCCCCACTCTGCCCAATTGGTTCGACTTGTGGGGAAGCCCCGGGCGGCTTTGCTTTTGCAGGTAGTGATTGACAGAACCTGTGGAGGCAGGGAGGTGGGTTGGAGGGAGCACAAGGGTGGGTAGCCTTGGTCTGGCTATTTTTTTTTTTTATTTTTTAAAAAATATATTTTATTGATTTTTTACAGAGAGGAAGGGAGAGAGATAGAGAGTTAGAAACATCTATGAGAGAGAAACATCGATCAGCCGCCTCCTGCACATCTCCCACTGGGGATGTGCCCGCAACCCAGGTACATGCCCCCTACCGGAACCGAACCCGGGACCCTTCAGTCCGCAGGCCGACGCTCTATCCACTGAGCCAAACCGGTTTCGGCGGTCTGGCTATTTTTTAAAAAAATATATATTTTATTGATTTTTTACAGAGAGGAAGGGAGAGGGATAGAGAGTCAGAAACATCGATGAGAAAGAAACATCGATCAGCTGCCTCCTGCACACCCCCCACTGGGGATGTGCCCGCAACCAAGGTACATGCCCTTGACCGGAATCGAACCCGGGACCCCTCAGTCTGCAGGCTGACGCTCTATCCACTGAGCCAAACGGGTCAGGGCTGGTCTGGCTATTAACTTGCCATGTTACCTGGGCCAGAGCACAGAGATATTATTGGGTAGGCGCATCTCAAAGCAGGAAGTTGTGGTTAAAAGTGTGGCCTCCAGAGCCTGCTGCCTGGTGTGAATTCCTAAGTAATAACCGGTTATAGTTGCATTGATATTTCTGTCCCAGTTACTTAATTTCTCTGTGCCTGGTTTTCTCCTCTGTAAAGGGAGGATGCTGTTCACACCTCCCTTGCTCAGATATTGTGCGGATTAAATAGGTTGATAGAATCACAGTGCTCAGACCATGGCCAGTGCCTGGTGAGCCTCGGCAGTGACGCCTCGGCACTTCCTTGCCTGTGAAGTGGAAATGACTGCCGCCGCCCTCTCTGTTTCACAGGACTGTTGTGAGGATGAAATAAGACTCTTCCGGAAAGCGCCTTGTGTAGATATGTAGTCAACACATGTTTAGTCCAGGCACCGTGCGAAGCACCGGGAATTGTAAACCGCAGAGGCACACACAGTGGACAGTGTTATATAGCTGTGGTTAGCAAGTGATCGGAAACTTAGGTAGTCTTACAGCCGTAAAGTCGCACCCCTCTGCCGGTTAATGTGAAAGCTACAGTCATTAAGTTTGCAGCACCAAATGGGACTGCATTTCTGTCATCGCTGCCTCTGAATGCTTGTGACCACCGTTAACCATGTGCAAGCCCTGTGGGTTTCCCACGTGCTGGTTTAGTTATTATTCACAGATTTGGGACCAAGTCTCAATCTACGAGGTTGCTAATCCCAGAGCGGCACCGGAGCACTTGTCCTGCCTCCCCCTATTGTATCTATTGCAGGACTGATTCCGTCAAGAAAATAGAAGCCCCCATAACCGTGGTCGGGCTCGCGAGCCGCAGTTTGCCGACCACTGCCCCATAAGAACGCCAGAGATAGGCCTTGCTTGCCCAAAATGTGGAGGGCTCATGAGTTATTTGCTCTTTTAGTGGTAGACTAAAAGGTGCTTTTAATTAAAGAAATTTTTATATGTGGTAGGTTTTAAATTTCCATTTGGATAAAAGTTTTGTACTTCTTAAACTGGGAAGAACAAGCCAACACTATGAATTACGCCTCTTAGTTGACATTGATTCTATGTACTTTAATGGTTATATATTATTTTTCAAAAATTCCCCTCTAGAGCCGCGAGGTAGACATGCTCCATTTTTGAGTTCTATTACATGTACACAAGTGCCTGGAGTCGTGTTGCTCCCCCGTCACAGTGTGTCCTGAGCAGCACGGCGCCTGGAGGCATACTCTCTCTTCTCAGTACTTTACCATTGAGAGCTCGCTCTCCGGGAGACCCGCGGTCAGTGAGTTTCCTGTGAGCTCAGGGTCCTGACTGACGACACCCAGACTTTAGAAAACTGAGGGGACAGTTAGGCCTTTTGTCAGTGTGTACATATGCTCCTCAACTTACAGGGTTACCTCCAATAAACCCATGTCAGTTGAAATTGTCCTAAGTCGCAAGTGCATTTAATATAACTAACCTACGAAACATCAGAGCTTCGCCTAGCCTACCTTAAACATGCTCAGAACACTCACCTTAGCTCACAGTTGGGCAAAATCATCTTGCTCCCCCTGCCCAGCATCACGAGAGAGCATTGCATTGTGTATCACTAGCCTCGGAAGAGAGCAAAATTCAATATTAGGAGTATGGTTTCTACTGAATATAGTAAGTCAAACAATCTTAAGTTTGTGAGTCTGGGACCGACTTTGGTTTTTAGCAAGCTAGACTTGGGCGGAGACTGGTACAGAAACCAGAAACTCCAGGCAGAGGCCCGGACCATAGCCCAGCTTGGATCTGTGGAGGACTTGCCAGAGTTCCCTTCCGTACTCACCCACAGTTCCCGCTTCTGCCATGACATTCCCAATGACCCTGATCTCGACTGTAGCAATGTTGTTCACACGCATTCATGGGTGCTTCCATCCCAGATGTGCTGTCTCCCTTCTAGGATTTCCTCCCAGATCCCCTGCATTTTATTTTGTTCATCAGAGGGGGACACTTTGCAAGTATGCAGAGAGCCAGGCCTCCAGGGCAGGGTCCTGAATCAGCCACCTGCTGCCCTGCCAGAATCCAAGTTCACCTACTCTGACTTAAGGAGAAGGGCAAGGGAGACCTGGAAGTGCAGCTTTCTTCTCAGTAGCAAAGTTTCTCTGAAGGTGACCATTCCAGAGCTGATTTGTAAGAAGGTTCCATTGCTCCAAGCTGCGTGACCATGTCACTCTCCTCTTTAAATCCATATGGTTGCACGAAGTTTCCTTGTTTAGTTGTGTATATAACGTGATACTTTCTTGTCTACTGATATTTCATAACCTTATATATTTAGCTATTTGGGTGAAATTTGAATCCACTAGTGTGAGGCCTTACAATGGCAAAAGCTAGTTTTCTTCTTTTTACCTTCCTTGCTCTCAGCCATCTCTGTTTTTTATTCTCTCCCCCTGAGACGTATTTTGGTAATGGTATTGTGTGTGTCTATTTAGGAACCGCACATTTTCAGCTGCCATAATGTTTCCTACTCATTTTGATTGCAACTCGAGTTGTCTAGTGTCACATGATGTGTCCCCTGCTGTTTGCCACTTTGCCTCTTCCTAGTCGACCTTTGTCCTCTGTCATCGTAGCTCCTTTCAGTTCTCTGAGCTCTTAACACAAGGGTAACGCAATCCCAGGTCAGCAGTAAGTCCTTCAGAAGTTACGAGAGAATTTCTGTTTTAAATTTAAGTCCTGTTTTCCTTGCACACGCAGAATTCATTTCATTTTTTTACATCCGGCACTAGAGGGCAGCATGATCTACATTATCTCTGGGATATAGTGTACGCGGGGCACCTTACTGCAAAACCTGGTTGTTTTTCTTTGAAAGCTTTCTTGGAAATTCCATTTTTATAGCTTTGTCTTTGTATGAGATTTTAAAAGCATTGTTGTGATTTACTATATTTGACACATTAAACTCTTGGGTTTATAAAACATTACTCCCAGCATTGTCCCAGAATATCTAGTATTTCAAACCAGGTTACTTGGATTTTTTTAATTGACACCTTCTTTCCTAGTAACCGGGACAGGCAGCTGCTGACATATTGACTGGATGAATTTTAACTGGGAAAGGCCTGAGTCAAACATGAGTTCAGGGAGACATATGAACCAGTTTCTTCACTTTTCTTCCACGCCATCAGCCAGCAGAGACATTTTATTCTTATCAAGTCTCTTGAATTTCTCCCTTTGTTTTGGAGACAAGATGAGTGGATAGTTGTCTTGTTTTTTTCGTGCCCAACTGTGGTGACATAACCCTTGGCCGAGAGGGTTGACTATAATGAATTCCAGACAAATATGTGTTTATTTGCTTTCAATGTGTTAATTTGGCTTTAAGAAACTGAGCTCCTGGTGTCAGTAGATGATGTTTGTTTATTCTCTCATTTTGGGCTGTGGCCACTATGTTCATGTCACATGACTGAATTTTGTACAGTGGTGTGTGCGCGTGCGCATGTTTGCTAACTTATGCATTCAGTGTAGAAAAAAGTGCAAATTCATATTATTTTGCTATTATTTTGCTCTTTACCAATCAAGTTAAGTTAGGGCTAAAACACTATAGAGAGAAAAGTAAACGTGCTACTG